TTTTCCCTGTTTTTCCCCTGATTTTCCCCTAATTTTTTCCATTTTTTCCCCCTGATTTTTCTATAATTTCCCCCTGATTTTCCCTGATTTTTCCATAATTTTCCCATCCTTTCCCACTGATTTTCCGTGATTTTCCCGTTTTTCCTATAATTTTTCCCTGATTTTTTCCATTATTTTCCCCAAATTTTTCCCATCATTTTCCCCTTGATTTTTCCCCTTGATTTTCCCATCATTTTCCCCTCATTTTTTCCATAATTTCCCCCTGATTTTTCTATAATTTTCCCTGATTTTCCCCTGTTTTTTCCCGGATTTTTTCCGATTTTTCCATTACTTTTCCCTGATTTTCCCATCGTTTTCCCCTGATTTTTTTCCATTATTTTCCCTTAATTTTTTCCACGATTTCCCCAAATTTCCCTGATTTTCCCCCTGATTTTTCCCTGATTTTTCCCGGATTTTTCCATAATTTCCCCCCCAATTTTTCCATAATTTTTCCTTGATTTTCCCCTGTTTTTTCCCTGATTTTCCCAGATTTTTCCCCTGATTTTTCCCTGTTTTTCCCCCGATTTTTCCATAATTTTTCCCTGTTTTTCCCATCATGTTTCCATCCTTTCCCCCTTATTTTCCCCTGATTTTTCCCGTTTCTCCCCTCATTTCCTCAATTTTTCTCTGTTTTTTTCCCCTGTTTTCCCCCTGATTTCTCCCTGGTTTTCCCCTAGTTTTCCATAATTTTCCCCATTTTTTCCCCATTTTTTCCCCATTTTTTTCCCCAATTTTTCCCCATTTTTCCCCTTTTCCCACAAATTTTCCCATTATTTTCCCCTGATTTTCCCTTGATTTTCCCCTAATTTTTTTCCTAATTTTCCCATTATTTTTCCCTGATTTTCCTCTAATTTTTTTCCTGATTTTCCCATTATTTTTCTCTTTTTTCCCCCTAATTTTCCCATTATTTTTCCCTCTTTCCCCCCTAATTTTCCCATTATTTTTCCCTCTTTCCCCCCTAATTTTCCCATTATTTTCCCCTGATTTTCCCCCGATTTTTTCTCTGTTTTTCCATATTTTTTCCCCTGTTCCCCCCTAATTTTCCCATAATTTTCCCCCGATTTTCCCCTAATTTTTCCCCCAATTTTCCCATTATTTTTCCCGTTTTCCCCCTAATTTTCCCATTATTTTCCCCTGATTTTCCCCTTTTTCTGTTTTTCCTTATTTTTTCCCCTCTTCTCCCCTAATTTTCCCATTATTTTTCCCTGTTCCCCCCAATTTTCCCATTATTTTTCCCTCATTCCCCCTAATTTTCCAACTTTTTTCCCCTCTTCTCCCCTAATTTTCCCATTATTTTTCCCTGTTTTCCCCCCTAATTTTCCCTGCAATTTCCCCCTAATTTTTTCCCTAATTTTCCCATTATTTTTCCCTCTTTCCCCCAAATTTTCCCATTATTTTTCCCTCATTCCCCCTAATTTTCCAACTTTTTTCCCCTCTTATCCCCTAAGTTTCCCATTATTTTTTTCACCTCTTTCCCCTTAATTTTCCCATTATTTTTCCTTGATTCCCCCCGATTTTCCCCTATTTTTTTCCCTGATTTTCCCATTATTTTTCCCTATTTTCCCATAATTTTTCCTTGATTTTCCCCCGATTTTCCCCTAATTTTTTCCCTGATTTTCCCATTATTTTTCTCTGTTTTCCCCCTAATTTTCCCATTATTTTCCCCTGTTTTCCCCTTCATTTTCCCAATATTTTCCCATTATTTTCCCAGACAGGAAAGCAGCTCTCGAGGCCGTCATGAGGACCCTGGGGCCGGGATTTTTGGCCGAGTTCAGGAAACACAAATCCCTGCAGGCGGCTGTGCAGGAATCCCTGAATTCCGGAAAATCCCACGGGAATGGCAAAAAAATTCCCAAAATTCCTAAAAAAGAGGGATCAGCTACAGCAGGACCCAGCTGTGCCCAGGAACCCGAGGGGAAAATCCCAAAAAAAGAGAAGGAAGAGGACGAGGAAACGGG